TAGTTTAGTGGTCACTGTAATTCAGTGATTGTCAGACTGTGGAGTGGGCTCCGCTAGTGGAGGATTGAGCCACTGGGCATGGATAACCAGACGAAAAATACAAATTGAAGCTACTTAACTTATCTAAAGTCAAAGTTTAATAAATGCAATGGATAGCTTGAGAAGGTTTGAGAGCCGCTGCTGTAATTTACAAGATAATCCAATAAAGACATAACAGAACAAAAGAATGCAGAATAAGAAACACTTGTTAAATATCTTAATACAGTATTGTAGCAGTTGCACTGTATTGGTATGCAGCCAGTGTAGAGCAGTTTATATCAGCTGCAAAGGGGATGGGAATAGGGAATAGCAAATCAGTGTGAAGAAGAACTAGCTTCGGGTTTTTTTATTGCCTTTAGAGCCGTGCCAACTGATTGTCTGCCAAAGTCTGTTAAACACACGACAGACTACAGCATGCACTGTTCATTCAGGGAGTCCAAAGCTTGGGTTGTTAAGTGCTATCACCTTTGAAAAATTCAGTGCAAGTGCCACAGTCTGTGGCTGTGGTAACAAAGCAAATCTTAATTTTCTACTTTTCTACTTTTGATACCTCAATGTATATATATATATTTAAATATATATATTAATATATGTGTGTAGATGGCTGGAACACTGCTGGACACTGACTTATAGGCATCAAATACAGATTAGCGTGTCCTCAGCAAATTAAACTATGGTATTGCTGAGTTAATATTTCTAAGGGACATGTAAGCAAATGGTTGAGAAAGATTATTAACATAACTTATTTGCCTAAATTAGAGGTAAAAGGAACATTTGCCTAGAAAAATAACCTAATGCAGAGGCCAAGAGCAACATTATGCTATAGTAATATTATATACAGTACTGTGCAAAGGTTTTGAGTCACACCTGAGTTCTTTCTATTTTGGAGCTAGACTTTCTTGGATTTTTTAAAAAACAGTGGTCTTCTTCCACGTGGAATTTCCATGTCTTCCCCATGTTTGCGTGGATTCTTCCTGGGTACATCGGCTTCCTCCCACAGTCCAAACATGTACAGTTTGTGGGGCTGAGTTAAGGTTAGGTTGGTGCCCATAGTTGTGAGTATGAATGGTTGCCTATCACTCTGTGTCAGATAGGAGATCTGTCCAGAGTGTATCCCGCCTTTCGCCCTACAGTAGCTGTAGCCAGCCCCGCCTCCCCCGGGATCCTGATAAGGATAAGTGGAAGAGGTTGGATAGTCTTGAGTAGTTCTGAAGGCCCTTTTAAATTTTGGCATTGGCTCCTTTTTCACTCGTTTTTAGTTTTTACCATTTTCAGAAGTATTTTCACACCAACAAGGCAAATCCCAAATTAGCTGCAAATGGCATATTTGGCATGATGTGCAGTGTGTGCAAAAAATTCGGGGAAACTGGACAAGTGGAGGGCAAAGAAAAAGGTGACGGGTCTAAAAATATCAGCAACAGACAGTATCTGAAAGTCATGTCCTTATGAAATAAAAAGTAAACTTCAGCAAAGACCTGACACAGGACCTGAAAGATGCATCTTGATCCATCTACTTCTTCAGAAATAGTCTCAGTGGAAGGGTGAAAAGAAACCATTTTTATAGAAGGAAAAACAGACTAGACTAATCCACATACAAATACTTTTTGCTATTTATACTTAATATGTCTTTGACTAATCTAGAACTTGTTGACAACATAAGAAAGACTCAGTTCTGTGTATAGCTAACAGACGTTTAACCAGCGTGCTACAGTTTCAGGATTCTCACGCTAAAAGAACAACATAATATTTAATGGAAAGAAATGATTATCCTCCAGGCTGAGGCTGTTCACATTGCTGCTTTCAAAGACCCCCTCTGCCCTGTGGTACCGTCATCATTTTCAGCTGTTTTATAGTAGTGAGATAAGGGGGTTCTGCTTATTCTCTCATTGCCATAGAAACTGAGTGGAAATGCAGTTTTCTTAGAAGATATCATTGTGGTTTGTTTGGCAATATACTAGCAGAAGCAGGCAAAAGCACACCACGAGGAGATGGGCGAAGTTTAATTGGTGCCGGGTCTGTAATATTTTGATGCTGTGCTGAGAGAGCAAGCAGCACAACAGCTGGGAAAAAATGAAAAGCATTATATGAATCTGAATATTACGTTTCTTTATGAAATGACTTTTATAATAAAATGTTTCAATACTTTTAGTAGTTCCCCTTTTCTTCTCATACTGACCTTAGTTGACTTTTTAAGCCTTAAAAAACACTGTTCCACTTAAAGGCACCTTTATTTCATCCTTTTTAAATGATATGCTTTTTAAGAATTTTGTTATTTTTATCTGTCTCGCATTCAAGAAAGAAAACATTATGCCAGTCCCTCTGCTCTATAAAAAGACTTTCTAAGAACTGTTTTTTCACTGTTATATAAAATAAGCACATGGTTAAGAAAATGTTGTAGTTATCCTTTAATAAAATAAACACAGATTTTCTTTCTCAAATAGGAAACTAACAGTACAACACCCCTGTGAATGCCAATGTTTTGTTGACCTATCTGTCCACCCCAGTCCCCTCCCGTTGTGGGCTTTGCTGCTCTGTAGAAACACCACCTGATTTCCTGCTTTGGCCGCACCACAAATCAATGAATTGATCTTTTCAGCAAGATCTTTAAATAAAAGATGAATGATCACAGCAGTCAATTGTTCCTATAGCTACAACTTACAGGAGTATTTCCAACTAAAACTCCACATTAGAAGATAGGAGGCTTTGGAAAGGAGGCAAGGGCACAGCTGACTGACCAGGATAAGAGTTTAACTCTCCTTTGAGACCACTTTTAAATTTCACTTTTCATCAGTGTTTACTTTTCACTTGCTGTTTGATGCAGTCTAGGCACAACATGCACTTGTATAAAAGTGCAGCCTTTCACGGTGTTAAAGTGTTTTAGCTCGACTGATCAGATTCCACTCGCACAAATGACCTACGAGCTCACATTGGAGAGGTCTTATTCAGCTTAAAGTCTCTTAAAAAGATGTAGTTGAAACCATGAATTTATGGCCTATATTTGGCTCGTTTTAAACTTGATTTGGGGAAACATTTGAAAGCACCGAGATGACAAACAAAAAGAGAGGTGATAAAAGGGAATGTGTTATTTTTGCTCTAGTAATTATTCTGACAGGGAACGTTTTCCTATTTTCAGACACAGACCACCGTGTTCATTAGAAGAGCCCTTTAATATTACATGCACTGTTCTCAGAGCCCTCTGTGCCATTAATTTGTGAACTTACCGCAGTAGATGTGATAGAAACGATGCTGCGTGTGTGTCCTCATGTCCAACTATGAATATGCGGTTACATTTGTGTGTGTGTGTGAAGTCGTGTTCTCTCTGCGTATAAAGAGCTGGGCCGGAGCTGTTCGTGTGTGTTTGTGATGTTCCCTCCGGGTGTGAATTAGCTTGCGGTGTAAAGGCCATGCTTCACGCTGAGACAGACCTCTGATCAACTGTGTCGAAAAGACGGATCATGTTAAACTACTCCTCTCCGCTTTCTCATTACTTACACTGACTCTTGCACTCCTCTTCTTCACCCTCGCCACTTGTCCCATCTTCACTGCACCCATCCCACACAGCTCCTGCATCCCTCTCTGCCCTTCTCTCCCCTCATTCATCTCTTGGCCTGTCACGTCCTCATCTCATCTCTTTGGAGGCTATCCTTCCATTCCTCTTCCTCTGTAAAGAGGTGCAGCAATGCAGAGAGTACTCAACCGGCCTCTGAATAAATTCCAGCACAAATAAGATGCTTATTTGTTCCCAGTAAAACCAAGACTTTAGTGCAAAAAATGAGCAGTTCAACAATGTCTTGACAACGTTGCTAGTACGTAATTATTGATTATTATTGATCTTCTTCTTTTAAATATGAATATTTTATGTGTTTGTTGGCTAACTGATGAATGGAAGTGAGAGGAAATATCATAACTGGCCCACTTTACAATCATATCATCAACAGTCATAAAAACAGATCTTTCCTGCAGCACCATTGAGTAATGGGGAAGACAACCTGCAGCGATGACAAACAACTGCTCAGCATGATGTTTCATTACTTGATGTGGCAACCCAAAGGGAGTAACTAATGGTTTTTTAAGTTCTAGAAAGGGCGTTATCCGGGTCATGGTTCCTGATACTTCAAAACATTCGTAATTAATTTGTCACTTGTTCTTTAGTAACGCAAGTTTTCATATCCCTTACAACAAAAGGTCATTGGTTAGGGGACAGAGTAGCTCATGCTGCATTGCTTTAATTTATAGACAAATGGAGCCTCATTTTGGCAATTTTTAAAGCGAATGGTTATGGTTACATTTTCTCTGATTAGAGACGAGTTTACTGTTGGTTGATGTAAATCTAATTTATTTGAAGTTGGGGTCCTTAAGTGCAATTTATTAAACTACTAATATGGAAGAAATAATCAATAGATTCCCTGTGTACAGTAAATAGCTACTGGTAGGAGCCTTGAACTTGAGCAGGCTGGCCTTTTTTCAATTCATCTTTATCTTCTTCTTATCTCTGCTGCTTCTCAGCTTGACCATTCTCTTCTCTTCTCTTCTCTTCTCTTCTCTGTCCTTTTCACTGGTCTGTGTTTATCAGTGCAGTGCTGCCTGGGCTACACGCTCCTTTGGTTTCCATTCATTCTGAGCCTATTCCACACACACACACACACACACACACACACACACACACACACACACACACACACACACACACACACACACACACACACACACTGTCTTGCTCTGTGTCTTATCCCTGCACTCCTGCTCACATCAGCTCATCCTTTCCTCAGCCCAATCTCTCTCTTTTTCTCTTCCATCTCTCTCTCGGGAAAGGAGCATCTTCCTCCTTTCCCGAGAGAGAGAGAGGCAGACGCGCGCGCGCGCACGCACATACACACACTCAGAAAGACAGACAGAGAGAGAGAGCGAGCGAGGGAGATACAGGGGAGGGCGCAAGAGCGCGCAAGCGAGCCAGCGGGTGAAGTGCGCGTGCTCTGTCACCGCCGCCGCCGCTTGAGAGGGGGAGAGACGTTTATTCAGCTGGTGGATAAGGAAACGAGCGGAGGGCAGGGATGAACAGATAGAGGCACCAGCCAGTGAATCAATGAACGGATCGCGACCTGGGCTTTTTCCAGAGTACCAAACCGGTGAGAGGACACAAATATCGCGCCACTGTTGCTCTTATAATGAATCTATGTGCATTGTTAAAACTGTTTTGCTGCTCTTACGCGAGCCGTGTGTGTGTATGTGTGTGTGTGACAGGAGACAGTCACCGTGTTTAAGAAGTGTGCCGGCATGTGAGGTGCATTCACTTTGACAGTTTGTCTAGACCCTAGCAGCGGGCGCTGCGTGGTGCAGAATTTGGTTCATGTGTGCGTAAATAAGGAGCGAGAAAGTGTTTCGATGAGGCGGAAGAGATAGACGTTGAAACTGAAAGACACCGGAGTGCCCCGCATGACCAGGGAGGTCTCTCAGGTGTGTTGCGACACCGCGGAGTCCTGCCCTGCGCGAGAGACGCATTCAAGTGCCGTTCCAATTAAGCATCTGTCCTGCGCGCAGTCTCCTGTGAGAACCAGCGTAGCCTGTGTCGTATGATAAAAGGATCTTGATCCACGCCGGCTGTTCTCTCAGCTGGAGAGCGAACGATGGAGTAAAATTTACCAAGACCTAAAACCTTTGCTGAGCCGGGTTGGGGATTGCGCAAGAAAAGAAGGTGCGGGGACGTAAGATTATGGTTAGGGGTTAGGTACACACCTGGGTACTAGGGGACTGTGCACCGGGTCAGGGCGCGCAAGAGTAATAGATTTGTAAGGGGTGAAATAGCAGCACAATAGCGGCCTGTAGCTTCGCATATGAAAGGAAAATCCTGTGAGTTTGAAATTAAGGCTGATGATAATCGGAATGTAAAAGTTGGATGAATACCATTCAGGTTCCTGCATTTCTTTAGAGGAGCTGATTATTGTGACGATTTGTTGATTCTGGTGGTGGTGACGATGATGGTGATGAACGTATTTATGGAAGGAGTTGTGATGATACCAAAGCTAATTGATATGTGACACTTTTAATGATGGCAGTCCCAACATAAATGGATGCTGCTGCTTATAGGTGTTACACGTCGGTGTGGAGGTGGTTTTATAACAGTTGAAGAGTTGGCAACAAAATAATGGAGATGAGGATGATGACGTTGATGGTTTATAGAGCATGATGACGGTGGAGAGTTAATGATGATGGCTGGGCTGCGGGGTACATGATGAGGCTACTGATGAGAACTTTTTCAACAATGATAAATAATTTACCCAAAGATATGTTGCCCTCTCAATAATTCAAGGAGCCAAGCTGTCTAAGGAAATGTAGGCTATAAATTAATCTGCATATCTTAATCCATCCCCAGCATATAAGCAAGAGTAACTCTTTGTGTTAAGCAGCTTTTACACAGGTGTTGCTATCCAGACACGTCTACAAGGTAGCGATTTTGTGCAATTCAGACAAACAAAGCTGTTTTTCTGAATTAATAAAGGGTCAAAATAAGTCTGATGGTTCCTGGAAGGGAAATATATCCACATTTTGAGGTCAGCAATAGTTTTTTTTACCTTAAAAAATGATAATACATTCTTTTGCTTTATATCTTGGCTCTCAACTAATCCAAAAGCAGCAACAGTATGATTTTGGCTGCTTGTGTGAGCAGTGACTGTGAATAACTGCAAGGGCAGAGAAACCTGGTGCTTGGAAGGAAAAACACATGCATTTATTCATTATTTATGTAGCGCCTAATCCTAGAAATGTCAATATTGACAATGATTTGGTCAAGTTCCCACATTTATATTTTGTTTCTAGGTCTGTGTGTTTATTGTGTATGCACATAATGGAGGGTGCCTACTAGCTAAGGGTGTTTGCATGCCAGAAATATCCAGGACTTTCCCTGCCTGTCTGTCGTCTTTTCCTGTGACGGTATCCTCAGCTAATCCATTAATGACTTAAACAACACACTCACTTCCCCACAGCAGAGGGTGGTAACCCACATCTTGGCCTCTATTCTTGTCCATGTTAATCTGATTATGTGTTTCGCTGGCACCGGTCTCTGGTTTCTTGTGTTGTTAGTGGTTACTGAGCATAGGGAACCTGTTACTTTGAGCATAATGCATCTGTCCAGTAGCTGGGAGGGACAGGAAACACCCTGTGGTCATAATCCTTTTTTCTCCTGTGTGTGGGTGTTTGTTACACACGGTTAGTAGTGCCAGCTTTCAAAACCTTGTTTTGAGTTGTGTACCAGAAGAAGATTATATTAACAATACTGTGAAATATAAAAAAGAAGACCTATTCATGTTGGCAGGAGCATAAAGGAGCAGGAACTTCTATTAAGCTAGAAGATACATTTTTATGTTCTTTTAATTGATGAATTGTTGAATTGATTTATTGTTTGAGTGGTAGGCTACATGTAGCCAAATTTCTGTTTGGCCTAATGTTGCGATCACTAATCAGTTGTTTGTTATAACTTCAAGGGCTAAAATATATAATAAATATAATATATTTATTATATTTGTCCATACTGGTCAAAGCCTTTATAGATCATCAAGTTTGAATATGTAAAAGTGTAATACAGCAACTGGTGTGATATAATTAGCAATGAACTGATGCAAGTAAAGACATTAAAGCCAAACTCAAAAAGCAACATACTTTAACATAATAATCTTAGGGGGAAAAAAGTTAAATAAAATAATTAAGACGACAAGTTAGAAAATAATGTGTTTAATGTGGGTGTGAAAAAAACCCCCATATATATATAACATAATGGATAAGCGATATGCACTCAACTCTCTCGTGTCAAAGTCATCTTCAGTGATGACTCTAACCCTATGCTTTCATGTCTTTTTAAAATTTTTCCAAAAAGGTACTTTATGCTTGCCTCCAAAGCATAATGATGATAACTTAAACCCAACAGGGTTAATATATCATGCCAAAGTAGTTGCGTTCCATTTTATGATAACTGTACCAGAATTCTAGTTTGGCTGCCCTAATGTGATTATTAAAAGCAAACAGTAGTTGGACGTAATATTAACACGGGATCTAAAACAGATTGTATCACATAGAATACACGACATAGTTGCATGAATCTAATTAAAATGATTGCGCACATTATTATTAAATAGTGATTTGAACTTAAACATTAACAGTCCTGTGAGTTATTGTGCTCATCAATGGGGACTAGAACAACACTGAGATAATAGCTCAACTAACTCGTGATCTCTCACAGTTCATAGCTTATCATCTGTAAAATGACAAATGTGATCTTTACATTGACCTTGAGTAACATTTGGGTGAAGACTAATTAGGTGATAATTATTTGTAGGTTTATGACCAGTGCTCTAGTAGCGATTCTTGTGAATTGTGGATGAGCAGATGGCATGAAGTCGTGAAACTGGATAAGCTGAAAGAAAAAGAAAATTAAATGTATTGCTAAAAAAGCAGCTTTGTAGTGTAGTGGTTAACAAATTCCATGAGAAACACAAACCCAGCCTCAGGACGTCACAACCAAATTTAATCCTGTGACCTGAGCATATCACCTTATGTGTGGGAAGTTCTCCTCTTTGAGAGAGATTCTGACTTGAAGGGCTATGCTAGTAGCATATTGTACTTATGGTATGGCTTCTTTCAATTTAACTATTAATGCTGCTCTCCAACTGTCTTTTGCATGGAAGAAACTGCAAATTTGTCATGAAAGCCTTTACCAGGGTGTGCAAGTAGGCCTTGCAGTTTGTATTTAGTTGATTCATTAGTGCAGTGACATCAAAAGTAAATGCAGGACCCATCTTCCTCTGCATCTGAGATGTTACCATCTGGAGTCTATTTGTGATTCAGTGCCCTTGCATTGATGAAGTGAATTATTTTAGTTACAACATCAACAATGTGGTTTATTTTTTAGCACTGACTAATACAACAACTCCTGGTGTGTAATACAATGCAAAAATACCATTAAGGCAAACAAAAGGACTGATAAGTTACCACCGTGCTACTCTCTAACTGGTTGATTTGAAATTGTGTTGCCACTGTAGATGCTCTAGCTAAAAGGTAATTTCATGGTGGTTGGTGAGCTTAAAGGGTATGCAATGCAAAATATGTGATTAACTAAAATGTGGGTGGATCATAAAATATAACATGAAACAACAAAAAACTATAGTACAATATCACATTTAAATGTATTAGAATTTATTTAATTGTAATCGTCTTTTCAATTATTAAGTTATTGTTGATTTTAGTATGGAATCTTTGCATACTATATAATTGCATCGCAATTATTTTTAATATTTATTTAAAATTGAAATATTTGAAACTATGTGTATTGGATTAATTATATTGTAAAATGCCACCTCTTCCCAAGAGGGATCATTAAACTTTCAGCTCTCATCCCCAGGCTTTCTAAGCTATTCGCCCTCATTGTTTTAATTTTGTTTATCTTGTGTAGGGACAGCGGCTTTATCCAAAATCTTAAAAGTTCACTCCATCTCCATCATTTGTTTTGGCTGCTATTTAGATCTAGATAATTTCATGAGGCATTTTAATCTCTCTGCAACTGAACAGTGAGTCGCCCCTCGAGGTTTAAAGCACGGCCTCCTGCCTACAGGTTGATTAATTAAGTACACTAACACAATAGAATGAGAGGACAGTGATATATCGAGTGGTTCATCTCTTCTCTCGCTGCGACACGAAGCCATTGGCCTATCCTTTTATTTGACACAGTGTTTGACATTCATGGAAAGTGGCCAGTACCCATGGGTGGCGCCCAGTGCCACATCACATAATGGCACCTCAGTGTTTGCTCGACCGGAGGAAAGCGCACTGTGAGTTAAGACCAAGGAGTGAACTTTATAATATCAAACCCAAAGCTTAACAGTCAGTATGGGCATTTGGCAATTTGAGCTGTGAAATTAGACATTACAGCACGATCTAAATCATGACGCAATGAGAGAGAGTGAAAACGCGTTCAACATATTGTGACTAAAGCACAGATGAAATTAAAAATAAAGCGTTGCATCATGGCAAAGTGTCAAAGAAGGCTAAATCCTGTTTTAAATATCAGTAATCATTGACACAGTCAACTAATTGCAATACAGGTTCCAGATATAGTCTGATTTAAACACCTCTGAGTTTA